GTGTGATAGATGGCTGACAGTTTCTGCGGAGTGAAGAAACTTAAGCTGGATTAGGCGATCTTTGGCCAAGATCATTAGAGGAAGATACTGCTGAATCCTTTCATTCCAGTCTTCATTAGTTAAGGTGGACAGGCCACGTTGCCATACATGGTATAGTTGAGTAGACTTGGTGCTGTCCCCAACTGTAAGTCTAAGATATATGGTGTACAATGGTCTGTCAATATATCAGACAGTTAAAAGTCTCTCTACTGAATGAGAGTTTAGGGTGATATCAGGAAAGTGCACCTGCACGGAATGTCTAATCTGTAAAAACCTGAAGAACATCCAGGAGGGTAGTTGAAATTGATGTTTCAATTCATCAAAGGAAATGAGGTGACCCTCAGGCATGATATGATACAGAGTCCTGATGCCATACCTAGCCCAGACCTGCGGATGTGGCACGGACCTCAAATATAACAAGGAAGAGTTACCCCATAGTGGGGTGTGGGGTGAAATTGTCTGTGGTTCGCTCGTAGCCACTGTAACTTGCTTAGTTAGACCAAGGCTTTTATGGTTGAACTGGATGGACATTTGTCTTTTTTCAGCCAGACTAACTATGTAACTATGTAAGGCTCCTATACACTAGATTACTGAGCTCTGAATAAGAGCTGAACAGTGCCCCCTCCAAATTTACAGCTGGATTGGACTTAATTTGTGCGAACCACCAACGCACCATTACCAGTACCGCAGTAATAGTACCTTTTAAAACAAGGCAGGGTTAACCCCACTACAGTCAAAGGGAGCTGTAGGGTAGTCTGAGCTATTCTTGGGGTGGAGCCATCCATTCAAAGGAGGTAATAGCTTACTCTAGTTTCAAAAAGAAGCTATTCTATATGGGCACTGGGATATGTCAAAAACTTTTGGAAGATAGGTAATTTTAATAAGGTTCACTCTACCGACCAGAGTAGGGGGCAACGATTTCCAGATTGAACATTTTTGGATAAACTGATGTAGAATTGTATAGAGATGATCAGCCAAGTAGTTAGACAGATCCCTTTGAACCTGAACACCCAGGTATTTAAACTGGGATACCTATGTGACTGGAGTCAGAAGGGATGCTGACAGGGTTTGGGGAAACAGCACTGATTTGTCCCAGTTTACTAATGCCTGAATAGGTACCAAAGGAATTAATATCTAGGGCTGCAGTCAATGACTGCTTATCATCCTTCACATACAGGGGAGTATCATCTGCATAAAGGGACACCTTTTCCATCAGAGGTTCAACCAGTATACCTTGGACCATAGGAGACGATCTTATGAGTAGCACCAGAAGCTCAATTGCTAGGGCAAATAGGCCCAGGGAGAGGGGGCACTCCTGTCTCTTACCCCAGCAGAGTAAAGGGCGGCATAACAGTTTGCAAAGTAAGCATTGATGGCCTCCAGCTTGCTCAACAACCTCCCACCAGTGTCCCTGATGGTTGCAATATGCGTGGAGGCAGACTGTTTCCTGGAAAGCCACGACAGCAGTCGCCCAGTCCTCTCCCAATGCTCAACGATCCTCTAGGATTGATACAGCAGCTGCTTTTTGACTGTTGCAACATGGAGGAGCATTACTTCTCACAGAGCTACCTGCAAATCCCCGTATACCCACCTGTCGCCACTGTCCGAGTAACGAGCTTCCAACTCCCTAGATCTGGTCTCAACTTTAGATAAACCTGCTTTTTTCCATCAGTGTCCCCCAAAGTTCTGTTCTTGGACCCCTCATATTGTTGATCTACACCTCCTCCCTTGGTCAGCTGATAGCCTCCCATGGCTCTCATTACCATTTTTTACACTGATGACAGCAAAATCTATCTCTCTACCCCGCAGCTCACTACATCAGTCTCCTCACTTATCACTAATTTACATTTCAATCTGGATGTCACACCACATTCTCAAATGTAATCTATCCCAAACCGAGATCATAATATTTGCTCTCCCATGTGCTCTTTCATCTGACTTCTCTGTCAAGGTCAATGGTGCTATTGTCAACCTGTCCCCGCATGCCAGGGTGGTAAGTGTAGACTGGACTCTGAACTCTCCTTTCACCCCACATCCAATCACTGTCCAAAGCTTTCTGCCTCAACTCATGCAACATCTCTAAAATATGCCCCTTCCTAACCAGTGGCACCACAAAGCTGCTACAGTAATTCACTCCCTGGTCATCTCTTGCCTTGATTACAGCAACTTCCTCCTCATTGGCTTACCTTTACATAGGCTATCCCCTCTTCAATCCATCATAGATGCTGCTGCCAGACTCATCCACCTCACCAACTGTTCAATGTTTTGCTACCCACTCTGCTGATTCCTACACCAGCTTCTGCTCACCCAACAAATTCAATTTGAATTACTAACAACAACTTACAAAGCCATCCACAACTCAGCCCTCAGCTAAATCACTAACCTAGTCTCAAAATACCCACCGAATTGTTCTCTTCGTTCCTTTCAAGACCTCCTGCTCTTTAGCTCCCTTGTCACCTCCTCCCATGCTTGCCTCTAGGACTTCTCCTGAGCCTCCCCATCCAATGGGACTCCTTACCCCAATCTGTCCAACTATCTCCTACTCTGTTCACTTTTAACCGGTCCCTGAAAGCCCTTCTCGTCAGCGAAGCCTATCCTGCCTCCACCTAACAACTGTACTTTTATTTTCACCATCAGCTCACCCCCGCAGTTATTACCTTTTGTATCACTTGACCCTCCCTTTTAGATAATAAGCTCTATGGAGCAGGACCCTCTTTCCTCTGGATTCTCTGAATTGTATTGTAACTACACTATCTGCCCTCATCGTGTTAAGCGTTGTGCAAACTGTTGACGCTATATAAATCCTGTAAAATAATAATAGTTCTAGAGTAGAAAAAGTAATTTCTTTCAATAAATTTCCCAACAGTATAATAATTTCACTTAGAGTTGATTCACACATGTGCAGTGCAGATTGAAGCTCAGGTTTCACACTTTATTGATACAGTAGTTATTCAGCGGTTCAGTTCAGGTTTAGGTCAGGATTTTATCACAAATGTGCGGTTTAGAAACGGTTCCCATAGAATTCAATAGCCTGTAATCCGCACCAGAACCTGACCACACTGTTCAGAAATAGGAAAGCACTCTTTCTCAATCCACAACGCCAGTGCACCGGACATATGTGAACAGGCACCATAGGAAGCAATGTTATTTCACGTCATGCAGATTGGGTGCGGTTCAGGCTGAAGAAAAGACAAAAGTCCATCTAGTTAAACCAACAGAATAAACAAACATATAAACATAAGTAATAAATAAAAGAACCTCCATATACAGATTCCTATACCCACAGTTCAAGAGGAAGGCAAAAAAAAAAAAAACTATATAAAACATGACCCAATTTGCTCCAGCAGGGAAAATATAAATTCCTTCCTGATTCCCCAGAAGGCAATTGGATATTCTCTGGATCAAAATCTCTGTTATTACCAATTAATGTTAATTTTGTTATATTTTGTTAATTTAGGAATTAATCCAGCCGTTTTTTTAAAACCATCTACTGAGCTGGCCAGAACTAGTTCCAACTATCTCTCTAGTTGGAACTAGTTCTTGCCATCTTAGTAAATTGTTTTAGAAAAATGGCTGGATTAATTCAGTTCTCTCACCTATGCCATATTTTCACAGCTCTTACTGTGAAGAAGCCTTTCCATGTGTACAGTTAACTCTCTTTTCCTCCAGATGTAAAGAGTCTCCCCATCTGCTCTGTGATTACCTTAAAGTGAATCTAAGAGTTTAAGTTATCGTTGGATTTTTCAAAAATGTTGGTTCAATTCTACAGTTTTTGGCATTTTGGTGGACATTGGATAGAGGTAAATCAGTCACCAAACATACTGGACATGTTTTAAGATTGCAGTGGTGAAGTTGTACAGCAGGTGAACATGAACAGGGAGGAATCTTTTTAGGGAATTTACTTTATCAAGCACCTAATCTCTAGGTCTAATGTTTGCAGGTAAAACAACCAGGCAGCTTGTTGTATGTAACACAACCCTTGTGAACAGTGCCAGATGGGATACCAGTAGACAGCACTATGCAGGGCCGGACTGACCATTTGGAAACTCGGGCACTGCCCGAGGGCCCGGGGTCAGTAGGGGGCCCCATGAGATGCCCCTGGTACCTTTTTCATAGGCTTTTTTGAGTTTGGGCAAGGACACAGGGGCCCCATGATCCCCTATTGCCCGGGGGCCCCATGAGTTGTCAGTCTGCCCCTGGCACTATGCATATACCAAGTATGCTTCCATTTTCTTCTACTAACTTTAAAAGTCATGAACACATTAGAGAACTTTATTTTTAAAAAATTACATATTTGAATCACATCAGCTAGACAACAATGAAAGGAAATATAATATTGGTTTTCATACAATGGAAATATGCAAACAAAAGAAGTATTAAGAATGAGAATGCATCGCTCAGTAAATATGAAAGGTGAAAGCAGCACAGTACATACTTTACACAAACATCCTGGATGATGCTGGAGTGATACAATAATGTGAACACATGGTCACTGAACTAATATTAAAGCTGAACTCCAGGCACACAGGTAAGCACACAGTTCACCTTTATAGAAAAAAATTATAAATGCACATATTTTTGCATTAAAAAATGTGCATTAAAGTGTTACTAAACCCACAACAGTAAAATCAGCCTGTAGATGCAGTAAAGAATGCTTGTTATACTCACTGTGAAACCTAAGGGGTTAATCCTCCGCATTGTGTAAAAAGGATGTTTGATCTTTTCTTCTCTGCTCCTCCTCTTGTTCAAATGCCCATGCTGATAAGACAAACTGAACCATGCACTTCTCCACATGCTCAGTTTAGTGTGTATTGCTAGAGAGGTTTTTTTTTTTTGGGGAGTGTGCACGTGATCAGCACAGGGCCAATCAGTGCTGTCTAGACAGAGGTCAGGGGTTTTTCATCCTGCTAGAGCAGAAAGAAAACTCCTCCTACAAGCTTTAACCAGTGCTCTGCTGAAGTCACAAGACTGCTATATACTGCCGATGAGAAAAGGTATTTGTTGTGTGTACTGTGGGAGACCAGATATAGTGAATGCAGGGTCCTGGGAGACCAGATATAGTGAATGCAGGGTCCTGGGAGACCAGATATAGTGACTGCAGGGTCCTGGGAGACCAGATATAGTGACTGCAGGGTCCTGGGAGACCAGATATAGTGACTGCAGGGTCCGGGGGAGACCAGATATAGTGACTGCAGGGTCCGGGGAGACCAGATATAGTGACTGCAGGGACCTGGGAGACCAGATATAGTGACTGCAGGGCAGATTCCTGGGAGACCAGATATAGTGACTGCAGGGTCCGGGGAGACCAGATATAGTGACTGCAGGGTCCGGGGAGACCAGATATAGTGAATGCAGGGTCTGGGGAGACCAGATATAGTGAATGCAGGGTCCGGGGAGACCAGATATATAATGAATGCAGGGTCCTGGGAGACCAGATATAGTGAATGCAGGGTCCGGGGACACCAGATATAGTGACTGCAGGGTCCGGGGAGACCAGATATAGTGAATGCAGGGTCCTGGGAGATCAGATATAGTGAATGCAGGGTCCGGGGAGACCAGATATAGTGAATGCAGGGTCCGGGGGGAGACCAGATATAGTGAATGCAGGGTCCGGGGAGACCAGATATAGTGAATGCAGGGTCCTGGAAGATCAGATATAGTGAATGCAGGGTCCGGGGAGACCAGATATAGTGAATGCAGGGTCCTGGGGAGACCAGATATAGTGAATGCAGGGTCCGGGGAGATCAGATATAGTGAATGCAGGGTCCGGGAGACCAGATATAGTGAATGCAGGGTCCTGGGAGATCAGATATAGTGAATGCAGGGTCCGGGGAGACCAGATATAGTGACTGCAGGGTCTTGGGTTAGTAACACTTTAAGCCCTCATGCACACGGGACGTTTTGATAACGCTGGTAACGTTAGCTGTGTAAAATCACGTTTTTCAGCTTTTTAAAGTGTTTCTTCATTAGCGTTTAGCGGCATTTTGCTGCGATTAGCGGCATTTTTCCACGTTTTTCAACGTTTGCATTTTTTAAACGTTTTTAGAGTTTTTTTTTTTTACCCAAAAAAAAAAATTTTTTTGTTAAAAAAATTTCCAAAACCACCAGTTTGCGGCAGTTTACCACGTTAGAGCTAAACTCCTCTAGAAACCCACTAGTCCTGGGTTTTTTTACAGCCAAAAAAATGTTGATTACAGTCTGTGTGTGCATGGACACATAGGATAACATGCTGGGGGGTTTACTGGCTGTAGAAAAAACCACCAAAAGCCAAAAACAGCCGCTGTAAAAATGTAAAGTGTGCATGAGGGATGATTATTTTTTCCTGCAGGAGCCTGGAAAGCATTGCACCCGCAACCAGTGGATCTCAGGTGTAAATGTCAGGCTTCTGCAGACAAGCTCTACAGCTTTCAGATGATACTTCCATTCATGCTGTCACTTGAGAAAGCTGCAGGCAGGGGTGGATTGACAACTCATGGGGCCCCCGGGCAATAGGGAATCATGGGGCCCCTGGGTCCTTGCCCAAACTCAAAAAAGCCTATGAAAAAGGTACCAGGAGCATCTCATGGGGCCCCCTACTGACCCCGGGCCCTAGGGCAGTGCCCGAGTTTCCAAATGGTCAGTCCGCCCCTGGCTGCAGGGCTTGTGAATGAACTACAAGATCGCTTATCAGCACCCTTGTTGTTCATTCACAACTACAAGCTATCTGCCACAGTGGCGGATGGGACTTGTAGTTCATTCATTCACAGAAAAGGGACAATGAATGTCGTGGCCCTTTTGAAAAAGTGACAGGGAGTGTGGGGAGATGAACCCCCGCCTGCTGTCATGGGGGAAGGGGGGGAGGGATCAGGAGGACAGGTGGCAGCTGCTGCAACATGCTACACGTTCCACTCTAAATACAAGTGGAATGTGTAACATGTTCCAAAAGTGAACTTATCCAACTTATTTTGATGTACTTGTCAACAAATTTGTATTTCTGTCCATTCAGCCATAAGGTTTACACAGCTCTGTCACACAGCACGGCCTTGCTCAGAAGGGCAGGAGGCCTGATTTTTCTCTGCTGCATTTCAGTAACACGGACCCTAAGTTCACATCTAAGTGTTTTCTGAAGCGTTTTGCAGAAACACAGTACAGTCCATTTAACATGATTTCCTATGGGACATGTTCATATCTCCGCGTTTTAACCCGGGGTGTTTTTTGGAAAGGGCCAGGGACTTTTTTGAATGCAAAAAGTTGCATTTTTGGATCTATAGACTTCAATGGAAATGCTGCAGAAAAGCATGTACTACGTGTTGCTGTATTTTTGCTGCATTTTGCATTTTAAATCTGCCTAGCAAGAAGAAAAATAAAAAAAATAAAAATAAACCCCTGCAGAATGCTGCAAACGCACAGGTGCAAAAACGCAAAACGTAACGCAATGCAGAAATGGGTCAAAAGCACCCTGTAGTGGTGTGAACCTGGCCTCAGGCTCCGGTCACACCAATGCATTTTTTAGTACTTTTTGCAGAAAACGCACTACAGTCCATTTTACATGGTTTCCCATGGAACATGTTCACATCTATGCTTTTTTTGAGCTGTAAAGGGACCTATTTAAAAGCAAAAATCAGTGTTTTTGCTTCAATAGAGTTCAATGGAGAATCTGCTACAATGCATGGTAGTGCGTTTTAGCCCGCGATATTGCCTGCGTTTTGCATTTTTTTCTCTGCCCAGCAAAAAAAAATTCCACTTTAAAAAAAAAAAAAAAACAGCTGAACAAAATTCAAAACGCTGCAAAATCATTGTAAAAACGCATGTAGAAAAACCACAAAACGAACTGCGAAAAGCACTGCAAAACAGATGGAAAGCAAACTGCTTAGGTGAGAACGGAGCTTAGTGGTCGTATTCCACCTTCAGCCTGGGACTGGAAAGGGCTCGGTATGGTAGGACTGTGTTGGGTGGATATTCTTGCTCAGTCCCACTGCAAGACAAAGAAAAATGCCTCATCTCCCACCTTGCTGATTCCCAACAACGTGTTGCAGTGGTGTGCACTGAAAAAAAAGAGTAGCGCAGTGCAGTGTGCATCAGTCCATGTCCTTACACCACACAGTGCCCAATAAAACGTAATGAAATGTCACTATTTGACCTTAGATTTTAAGTTCATAAGGTTTAGGGACTGATGTGAATGTACAATATATATATATATATATATATATATATATATATTATATATGTAAAGCACTGCATAAATCGATACCTGTAATATATAAAAAAAAAATGCAATAAAGTTCATTAAAAAAAGTGACCAGTGCGATGCATAGGCATTCGGTGCATCAGCATTGCTGTCATCCCACCGTACACTAGCTGCTGCGTTGTAACGCAGGGGCTGATGTGAGTGTACCCTTGTATTCATGAAAACACAGCTGGAAATAATATATGGCTTTTATACCTGCCTAGCTTGAATTTTTTTAAAATACAAGTCACTGGGCTCTATTCACAAAGTGGTATCTACCGCTTAACGAAATGCAGTAAAGTACGGCTTAGTGTTTTTCAACATTTTTTTTTTTGGCATTCACAAAAAATGCTTCTAAATTACGACATACAGTATATTTAAAACAAAATGCAGTATTTATCTCATGAAACCATGCCGTATTTTATCTCATGCAATATCCAGTGGGACAGTTTTTATTGCTAATAAAGAGGTGAAATGGTTTAAACCATAGAAATATGCCAACTCACCAATGCCCCGTACACACGATAAGAAAATCATACAAAATTTAGCGGAACTACTAATCGAACGATTTTCTTTTCATTGATGAGCAGGATGTTTTAACCGATAACGATATTGTGAACGAAAAAATCAGGTTGAACAACAGTGAAAAATGTTGTCGTTTTGCATACGAACGACCAATTTTCTATGCGGTGGTATGACGGTCATACGAAAAAAATCTATCAAGCGCTATCACGCATGAGCGGAAACAGAAGATGACTCGGATGTTTATGTCTAAGGAATCTTCATAAACACGAACGAAAAATCCAAATGTTAAAAGTAGATTGGCCTAATGAGATAATGAAACCAGAATTCTGCATATTATATTTTATGTATCACTATTTATATATATAGATAATGTAATAAACTATATTATACTCATTGCTGGTCATTGTTGTGTATATCTCTCGTTCTGGCCAGAAGGGCGTGGCTACAAGGTCACACACACACTGCATCACTTCCACTTCTACGGAAGATGTCAACACTACGTATTGCCCGAATTATTTTTTTAGATTGGTCAATGTTGGCCACAATTTCGACTAACAAATGAACGCCTCTCGGTCATCGGATGATTATCTAATCGTGTATTCCCACCTTAAGTCAGTGCAGTCCCTGCAGCTTATGTATTAATACAAAAGAAAAAAGGTGACTGGAATACAAGTGAAAGGGACGATGCATTCACAGGACACACTTGGTGTATCAAAAACAACTAAGTTACATTAGGTAAATACAAAATATCCTTAAATGACAAATATTGAATGAAAATAGTGTACAAAATCACACACATATATATATATATATATATATATATATATATATATATATATATATATTCCACCAATAAAAAATACAACATTATAGAAGAAGGGTATTTATATATGTGTGTGATTTTTTTAATACTATTTTCATTCGATATTTGATATTTAGAAAGATATTTGTATTTGCTTAAAGTATAACTAAAGGAAAAAACTTTTTTTTTTTTAGTTTTGGGTGATATGAAGAGGTAGAAAAGAACAGACAAGGGCGCACTCTCATCGTGCATTACCGTGGTAAAACACGTATTTATTGAAAAAAGAAGATATATACTCACAAACCAGCGTGATATAAAAGCAATATGTGTGGTCCACAAACACAGTCACAGTACATCTTTGTCTAATGATGCGTATAAGCTGACGCGTTTCGGGAGCTAAACCCCCTTCCTCAGAGCTAAAGATACTCCTACTGGCCACAAGCCTATATACTGTTGGAATATCAGAAGGAGGGTGGATAAAGGTTACATCACGCCAGCCTCGCGTCATCCTTACCCTACTGTACTTTCTGATCCGTGCACGGCCCGGGCACTAGCTACAGGGTGCACGCGCGATGAGATCTGTACATGGTGCGTGTACCATTAACACTATGAGCCCCTTGTGTCCCCGCCTATCAGTGTGGCGTTATTACGCCGTGTTGTTTCATGTGCATTCATGGTCTATTTACATGTTCCTGGGCGGTGACAGCTTATCTTCAGATGGGCAATCTACAGTGTTACATCCACCATCAGGGTCACTTCGTTAAAGGTTGGTATTCCCCTAACATCTATTTACCATACAACACTGATTTATCATATAATCATACATTCATTTTTTCATTTATATATCTATATATCATTTACCAGTGTTATATCATTCATCAGTGTTGATTATACACTATGTATTATCTGCAGTTTTATTCATCATTATCCATCTTTATTAGTTCCTCCAAAAATTTTTTTTTTTTTTTGTTAGCTGGGAGGGCTTTATCCACCCTCCTTCTGATATTCCAACAGTATATAGGCTTGTGGCCAGTAGGAGAATCTTTAGCTCTGAGGAAGGGGGTTTAGCTCCCGAAACGTGTCAGCTTATACGCATCATTAGACACAGATGTACTGTGACTGTGTTTGTGGACCACACATATTGCTTTTATATCACGCTGGTTTGTGAGTATATATCTTCTTTTTTCAATAAATACGTGTTTTACCACGGTAATGCACGATGAGAGTGCGCCCTTGTCTGCTCTTTTCTACTAGTGCTCA